ATTTCCCTTTGGGGTTGCTGTAGGTGATCTGGAAGTCTGGTTTTGAGAGTTATTTATGTGTTTTCTCATTTCGACTTGGGGGGACGGCTGTTTGCACCTGCACGGATTCCGTCCTCTGAGTTGGGAGAGGTGGGACAGGGGCCGGCAGCAGCGGTAGGGATGGTGACCCAAAAGCCCTTTCCTGTGGGCTGGGAGGAGCGGGAGGGAAGGTGGCCAGGAAGCCCCTTCCTCTGGACCAGGAGCAGTGGGATGGTGGCTCAGAAGTCCCTACCTCTGGGCCAGGAGTGGTGCGAGTGATGGTGGCCTGGAAGCCCCTTCCTCTGGGCCAGGAGTGGCGGGACAGAAGGTGGCCCAAAAGCCCTTTCCTCTTTGCTGGGAGCAACGGGAGGGATGGTGGCCGGGAAGCCCCTTCCTCTGGACCAGGAGCAGTGGGATGGCAGCTCAGAAGCCCCTACCTCTGGGCCAGGAGCGGCAGGACTCAGTACCACACCTGGTGGTCTGGTGTCCTCTGCATCTTTGTAGTGTGGAACCAGGTGGCTGTACAGAGGAGCGGGGGATGGGGGGTCCAGTGGATTGTTGCCAGGGCGCGGGCTGATTTGTTGTCTTCTGTGTGACTCGGGACCTCCCGTTCCATGTATTTTTAAAAACCAAGTATCTATAAATGTGTGACTTATGCTAGGTCTTTTGAAATGTATATAATTACCCAGAAAGTTCTGGGATCTCTTATCTGTCTCATATCTCCTCCCCAACAGCAGTATCATGTTTCAGACTTCCCCTCAGGCACAGGGAGCAGTGAGATGACCCACCTCCCATGCAGTGCTCCATGCAGTCTCTTCTTGAATTGCTTGAAGGAGCTTCTTTTGCAATATAACAAGTCTTTGAATAATTTCTAAGCTTAAACCACCCTCCTCCATCTCTGAAGTGGTAGATAGACTCTTGTACAGTGACACATCAGAATCTGTAGTTACTTTTATTAGAAAAAAATGTCATAGAATGTTGCTATGAAGAATGTATCTTAAGTATCGCTAAGTTTCTGGTTTTATCTCTAGGAAGAAGAATGATGGCATTTACTGAGATAAAGTAACAGATATTTGGGAGAGGGGTTTTTTTTTGGCGTTGTGTATAATTGATTCATTAGTTTATTAGTAGTGTGGGGGCTGAGGTAGGAGATTAGGGCTGGGGCAAAATGGACAACTAACTGGGCAGAATGTATCAAAGGTAAAAAAAACCAAAAACAAAACCCCAGAGCAAATGCGCAGAACACAGGACCCACAATGACTCCACAGCTCCTAAGTACTGTATACAGAACTGATCAGAAAGCACTATTTTCAATCCCTCATTTCAATCTGGGGTTGTTTTCAGGACCAATCAGAAAAGTGATACTTTTAATCCTTCATGTAGATCTGGCAGGGAGCCAAACAAGCCTTTTGATGGAGAAGTTTAAATCTGGCTCCAGGCCAAGGGGGGTTTTGATAGGACAAATGTCCCAATGCCTTAATCGCATATGGTAGAAGCCAATCCAGCCATTTTGGATGCAAAAATCCCTTTCCTTTCTTCTCAGGGCCCTGTGAGTCTGTTCATCCACTGACCTGCTCCTGCCTTATAAATCTTACTTCCTTTCTCCCTTAAATACATGGACACTTTCACTGCCTTTTCTGTGTGTCTTGTCCAATTCTTCAAGACGCCAAAAACCTGGAAAGAGTACTTCGAGATCCGCCATCTGGTGACAGGAGATGTTATAGAAACTCATATCCTCTTTGCCCTCTGCATGAATTTTGCATCTAAGCAGGAAAGGGGATCTGAACAGGTTCTTTACTCAGATTTATTTTCTGGAGACTTTTTCAACTCTTTCTTGCTCCTTATAGTCTACTGAACTTCAGCTTGAAATACTTTTTTTTTTTTTTGGTACTGGGGATCAAACTTTGTGCTTGCGAGGCGGCCGACGGAACCACTGAGCTAAATCCCCGGCTTCAGCTTCAAATCTTATTCTTATTTTCTTTGTGTTCCTTTGGACTTGTGTTCAGCCCCAGGAAAGTCATTGTTCAATAAAAAATAAATAAACAAAAATAAAAATGAGCTGGAAGTATCACAGGACAGTATGCTAGGGGTTCCCCAAAGCAGTGATGAGCCTCCTAAATCCATCCTACCCTTATAATAAGTTACAGGTTCTCTGACTACTGTTGGAGAAAAAAAAAATTCAAGACAAGTCTGTAAGAACCACAAAGGGATTTATTAAGGAAAAATTCAAAAGTATACACTCAAAGAAATAGACTGCGGGCCTTCAACAGAGAGGTGCATCATAGTCTGGGTCTGGATACATTTGCGGGAGATTTGGGGGTGGAAATCCGTACAGCTGGTGAATACATGGAAAAAGGGGTTTCAATTTACTGATGAAAGGTGACAGCTCTTTCTGTGGGTGAAGGGTGATAGCCCAATCATAGATGACAGTCCTCACAGGTAATAGAACAGTAGCCCACTCAGAGGAAAAGGCCTATTTTCAGAGGAAAAGAGATGCTTTATTCCATTAGCAGATAAAAGGTAATAGAAAAATTCCATTTATAGCTAAAAGTGAAATACCCAGGCTTATTGTATCTTGGGAGAAAAGAAAAAATATTTTTTTAACTGGGTTTGTGTCCTGAAGCTGCAGTTTTTATTTTTAAAATCATGATATTCCTTATCTTCTTTTTACCTATCTTTATTCCTTCTATCCTGACTCAGGTGGATGATGTCTTTAGTCTGACATATTGCAATTGAAATGCCCAAATGCTCAGGAAAAAGTTTATGCCAGTAATAAAGATTTACTGATCATCACCATATAAAGAAGTAAACATTGGCTCAAGAAGCTGTTAAAGGACCCTAAAGGCCTTTTCTGTTTCTTCCTAAACAAGACAAAAAAATTTAAACCAATGATCTTCAATAACCATTCTGCCTTAATACTTATTCATTATAGGAGTGTAAATCAATTTCTGAAGTGAGCAAAATTGTAACAGGCTAAGTTGCATTTTATTGTCATCGTAACATAAAAACAGTTATTTCCACAATTGTCCTTGGAAGTTTGCTCTGCCTCTAACAAACTACAAGAAATATGATACTTATTTTGTTAACTTCTCATTGTTTCCATGATTTCAGCAGGCCATGGCTGTCATAGTTGACTTAAATTCCTCATTTGTTTTCATTAGTAGAAAGGCTGTGCTGCCATCTTTGAAAGAACTGATGCAACGAAAAAATAGAATAGGAAATGCACTAGTTTTACAAATAGAACTTTTGTTCTTTTTAAACATTAGGTTATTAAAGATTGTTTCTAAACGTTTTTTATAAATCTCTTTTGAATCCCAGGTATTGCAATTTCAGATGAACTTGATAAGGTAAGTTGAACTATATATCTAGTGAAAAGAAAATGTAAAACTTACATTTTAATCCATCATCTATATAAAAAAGGTTCTGAAACATACAAAATGTTAAAATATAATTTATTTGGTCCTAATATAAAACTTTCAAAGTTGTATGCTTATATTCTTCTATGAAAATCACTTCATCACTATATATCACATACTCTCTTGCATCATGGCCTTCAAAATTTGATTAGAGAAAACAATCACTTTAATACTAAATCACTACATTGAAAAATGAAAAAATATATTGTGTAAATTATTTAGATTTGAATGTTGATATGAAAGGTACTGTGCTTGTAATTCTCTATCACTGCCCTTCAGAAACCTTAATCATTGAGGTTTAGTTTTTTGTTTTAATTTTCCAGGATGCCAAGAGACTATGCTGATGATTTAAACTGGAATGATAGTTGTGATGGTTTGTAACAGTGGTATAACTAGGATTACATTTTAGTAGGAATGTCAGTGGAACTGCTAATGGATTGGCTGTGTGGAGTTGTAGAAGGAATCAGTCAATGACAGTCCTAGGTTTGGAAAATGAGCAACCATCCAGATGCCCTGTGCTGTTTCTCAGCACAGTTAGAAAAACTAGGAAAAGAACAAATTTGTTAGATTGAACTAAAATCAAGAGTTTGTTTTAAAATTATGTTAAACATGTTTATATAAATTGGTGCTGATGAAAGATTTTATCTAAAGCTATACTTTCAGTAGTCATTAGGATAGAATTTTTCAATATTTTTGGTCTCGTGATGACTTTCTAATGCTTAAACATTAAAAGGACTCCAAAATGCTTTGGCTTATGCAGGCTATGTCCATTAATATCTGCCATGGTAAAGTTAAAACTGATAAAAATTTCACATGCTTATCATTGTAAAAATAGCAGAGATTAAAACCTTGCATTAAAGATAATATACACTTATAAAATGCTTTATTTTCCAAAGCAAAATATTAGTGAGAATGTAGCCTCATTTACTTTGTGAAAACCTCTTTAATGTTTGGTTCAATTAAAAAGTAATAGCTGGGCCAGGGATTTAGCTTCGTGGTTTCCCTGCCTGCTGCGCAAGCGCAAGGACCCAAGTTCGATCCCCGGTACCAAAAAACAAAACAAAACAAAACAAAACACAAAAAACTAATAGGTTTTCTTATCTGTTTCTGCATTCAATCTGTTATCTGTGTTTTGATGAAAAAAATCTAGCATTGGGAATATACAAAGGGTGTAGCACTTAGAAATAGCTATCATCAATATTTGGTGAATGTCAGTCCAGATATCTGTCTAGATAAAAAGTATATTAAAATTTTGCTTGTTATCTAGAGAATGATAATGTACAAAATTGAGATCAGAAAAATCATGACATTTTAAAACAACAAATTTAATATAAAAATTTTATTTTTTGCAAAAACAATAAAGTTAACATTCTTCCTCAAATAAAAATACAACTTTTGAATTTTGTATTGTAAAAATGCATTATGATTCAAGAAATATATGCATGAGGTGGGGATTTAGCTCAGTGGTTCTGCCACCTGCCTCGCAAGCACAAGGTCTCGAGTTCAATCCCCGGTACCAAAAAAAAGAAAAAAGAAATGTATGTATGAATATTACTCTTTGTTAGTTTTTGTTTGTTTTGTTGTGCTAGAAATTGAACCCTGGACCCTTTATTAAGCATCATAATATCTGTATTAACTCTGTGCAAAACTAGACCTTCGTTGTATAGAACAACAAATATGAAAAATGGGTGTGGTCTCCTGGCTTTGTTCAGAATTTCTAGGTCCTTTCTGAATAACCCTTACTATCTTGCATACTGACGCCATGACTTTCTTTACAATTTTCAGGAACTTAGTAACCCTATGTTTTGCAGTTATGGCCTATGTGCTTTTAAGCACAAATATATAATCATCATCATTTCTACAACACCCTGACTGCATGACCACTAAATGAGCTTACGCGGGGTTGTTCCTCTGCTTGGCTCTCATCTGCCCTGTTTCCTGTGCTCTGACTTGTAGTGGCACAGTTATTTACAGTTTTTAGGTGAGCTAAGGAACTTTAAATATTCTTTGTACTGAAATCCATTTGACCTACACTGGATAAATTACGGATGCCCTGACAATGGTCAATTAGCATCTTTGGGACATGCCCTTCCCTCATACTCTCTTTTTCCCCCAGATTTAAGATAGGAAGCATCAATTTAACAAAATTTCACCATACTGATAATTTTCATTTACTTACCTAATATCTCTAATTTTGAAAATTTAAGAGAAATTGCTGAATTTTATTCCACATATATTATTTTGCATTTTTATTGAGGAAGATGCCGGTAGTTATCACAAATAACCTTTTTATTGAAAAATAGTTATGTCAGTATATAAAAAAATAACTTCACTTTCACATCTGATTCCCAGGGGTGCCAGATAACACCAAGAATCCCAGGCTTCCTGAGCCACTTCTGTGCCTGGAGAGCCCTCTGATGAGCCAGGATCCTGTCCATTAGCACCCCCTAGTGACCATGAAGCTTATAGTGCTGAATTTTCCTAAATAAGAATTAGCCCACCAGCTCAGGAAGCTATTAGAAAGCAACAAATCATAATGATTTCCATCCCGGGTTGACTAGGCACTTTTGTCTTCATTGTAATAATAAAAACAAATACAGCTTCTTCTTTTTGGTCCCTTACCAGGTTTAAGGATTCACTAAATATATATTGTTCTTAACTCTTATAAAATGTTTTACAGTCACGTTTCAATTCACATTTTATTTGAATCACGTTTTTTACAGTCATGTTTCAACTGGCATTTTATTTATTTTTCTGTGCCTTTAAGCGTAGCTTATGAATCACAATAAAATTATTAATTTTACTTCCCATGAAAGATAAACCAGGGAATAATGTTATAATCAAGGGCATTTTTGAAAAAAATTGTGGCGACTATCATATGCATCGTTCTTTTCATTTCTCTCTCTTAACCAATGTATTGTTTTTCCATGATACTGTAACAAATTAAACAACACAAATTTATTATCTTATAGGTAATTATTACATTAATACTTTCAAAAGTATTCTTATACTTCCATGCATCGAAGGACACAGTCAACAGAGTGAAAAGCAACCTGTGGAATAAGAGAAACATTCGCAAAGAATATTCCTGATAAGGCAGAACTCTCCAAAATAGATAAAGGACTCTCACCACTCAATAAAATTAAACAAAACTTAATTAAAAATAGGCAAAAGACTTGAATAGATATTCCTGCATAGATGAGGTACCAATGTCCAACAAACACATGAAAAGATGCTTAACATCAGTACTCCTTAGAAAAATCCAAATTATACCGTGGTGTGATACTATCACACACCCAGTACCATGGTGACCCTAAGAAAACAACCGGAAATGGCATGTGTTGGCAAGGAAGGGAAGAAACTGGGGCCCTGTGCCCTATGGGTGGGAATATAAAATGATGCAGCCACTATAGGAAACAGCATAGCAGTGCTTCAGATAATTAAAAATAAAATTACCATATACTATGATTTTGATATTTGTACCCCTCCCAAATTTTTATTGAACTTAATTCCCCATATAATAGTATTAGGAGATGAAACTTTAGAAAACGATTAGATCAGAGACTCTGCCTTCACAAGTGGGATTAATTTTCTTATCAAGGGGCTTTATGGAGCCCATTTGACTCTTGTGCTGGCCCTGTCACGTGAGGACACAGTGGTCAGTCTTTCCTCCATGTGAGAATGCGGCATGGAGTTACTAAGAAGCAGAGAACAGAGAATGTGTCTTTACCAGACATTGGATTCCTGGCACCTGGAGACTTCCCAGCCTCCAGAGCTGGGAAATAAATTTCTGTTTTTTATAATTAACCTAGTCTAAGACATTTTGTTAAATTCATAGGCATGTAATAAGACACCAGGTGATCAAGCAATCCCATTTCTAAATATATATCCAGTAGAACTGAAAACAGGATCACTAAGAGATATTTGCACACCCATGTTCATAGCAGCACTGTTCACAGTAGTCAAGAGGTGAAAACACCCAAATGTCTATCAGCTGATGAATGGACAAGCAAAAAGCAGTGCATACATACAATAACATTATTCAGCCTTCAAAAGGAGGAACTATTGTCACAACATACAACACAAATAAATTCAAGAAACTCATGCTAGTGAAATAAGCCAGTCACAGAAAGACAAGTGGCATATGATCCTACTTATTTAGATGAGGTATTTAAGTAGTCACATTTACAAGAGCAGGAGTGGTAGTTGTGAAGGGCTCAGTATAGGGGAAATGGAGAGCTGTTTCATGAGTCAAGAATTTTTTTTGCAAGACAAATTCTGTCTGCTAAACTACCGAATTGTACCTTAGAAATGGTTTAGAGGATAATTTCATGTTTTGTACTTTTATTACAATTTAAAATCATTCTTTCAGTTAATAAAATCATTACTTTTGTGGGACTTCTTAGACTAATGTTCACTGACCTAGACTGACATCGTAACACAAAAGCAGACTTCTGGTAGCACAGTTCCACTGGACATCTCAGAAGTGAAGTAAGGGACTGGCTTTACTGATGTTCTAGCTTAAGAAAGTACATATTTTAGCAGGGGTGCCTAATCTCATGGGCCACAGACCAATCCATGGCCTGTTAGGAATGGAACCATGCAGCAGGAAATGAGAGGCAGGAGAGCAAGTGACACTTCATCTGCATTCACAGCTGCTCCCACTTGCACCCCCCCCCAACCCCCTGCAGAAGCCTCCTGTCAGATCAGCAGTGGCATTAGATTCTCATAGGAACCTGAGCCCTGGGCGGGGTTAACTTGCCTGCTTTTTGAATCATCCTGAAAATCTTTTCCACCCCATACTACTCCCACGCCTCTGTCCACAGAACCTGGTGCCAAAAAGAGTGGGGAGGTATTGTTTTAGAGCATTTAGAGTTACTGTAGCCTCCCTGTCTTTTATAAAACTCATCAGAAATACTGCTGACAGGCAC